GGCGAACTGCGACAACAAGTCATCACGGAGCAACATCCATCTCCAACTTCTGCCTGAGAGAAACAGCTGAGTAAGAACACATCACCGAGACTGGATCTTCTTAGAGCCAGCCGTGATTTGAAGAGGAGGAAAAAGACGCAAAGAGAGAGAGAGCGAGAGAGAGAGCGAGAGAGAGAGGCTCCAATGGCATACACGGAAAGCAAAGCATAACCAGCGTGAAGCTTACTGACTAGTGGATCTATCTCACCAGAACAAAGCTATTCCTCTGGGAAAAAAGGCGGGCGGGGCGCGATGACGATAAAAGCCACAAATCTGTGTACCGTATTTCTTCTAACTTGCGGAAAATGTACGGGGGGGAGGCGGATACAAATTACAATCAAACGTTACCACAAATACCACAGGTGGCAGGCAGGAAGCAGAGAAAAACAAAACAAAAACAAAAAACAACCCCAAAAGAACTAAAGAATGCCGGTGCATAGATGACCCTAAACCAAGTCTACAGCTATGTACAAACGCAGTGCAGAGCCCCCTCACTCAAAGTGATAACTTTAAATAGCCTGCTGCTATGAATATAACCAATGACAGGTATGGGACCTCAAGAATGTGTGACCAAAGGTACAGTAGTATACACAGATGGAGACGTAGAAAGTGACTATCGACTATGATACATTTTTTAAAACGTCAATTTGATCTTCAAATGCAGAGTGGGGAGGGAAGGAGGGAGGGGAGGCGAGATAGAGAATAAAAATGCTTGGCTGCGTACGTACTTTGCTGCAAAGATGACCAAAAAAAAAAGGGGGGGGGGGGGGGGGGGAGTGAACTATGATGAGGAAAAATGACTACAACAAATTTCTACACTTATTACTAGCGTTCTTGGCAGTGAAGTCGTGACCTTGACAGAGTAGACAAAGTAAAAATTAAAATGAAACAAAGATTTGGATAGTTCCATTTCAGGGATGATAAATGCTGCTCACACTATCATCATCAATGTGAATGAAAAAATGAAAATGATGGGCTAAACACACAGATCTGAGATTTGCCTAGCTGCACTTGTCATTCTCTCTCACTACAGAGGTCAGTCAAACAGATACCACAAGATGGCAGTCAAAATAACCACTGCAAATAGTGGCTAAAAAAATCATTGAGGAAAGGGGAGATGAAAGAAAAGAAAGGGGGGGGGGGGGATGATTCAATTTTTATTGCTACTTTAGAAAAAAGCTGATCTTGTAATGAGGACAGCTAAAAATTCCACTTCAGCACATATTGTGAAATGAAAAATCATATAAAAAAAAAAAGATGTCTTCAGGAAATAAAAGAAAGTTAACAGAACTTTTCCAGAATAATGGACCACACAACATGTAGCTGAACATGTGTGGAGAACAAGCCGCATTCATTAAGGATTAACGTACTCAAATTAAAACTGTCAAGTAAAATTAAGATAGGTACCTGTCCTGAAGTGACAATCTAGTGTGACTAGCTTGCAAGTCATTTCCACTTCACTTGGGAACATAATCATGCACATAGTGCACCACATACTGAGGGGAAGGCAGCAGAAGAAGTTGTCCGTCTGTAGTCGCGAACATCAAACATTTTTTTTCAAACATTCATTTTGAATGATTTTAGTAGCACGTATTACATGGATTTTCTGCTATCCTGAAGTCTGAACATCAAAAACGCTATAGTAAAACTAAATACACGTATTATAGTACACTAAAAGGATATTATACTATGCATAACAATTGTTCCATTCAGCACATTCAGTTCTTGACAAAGCATGAAGCAGTATTTACAAAAGAACAAATCTATGACCTAAGACTTTCAAGCGGCCAGTAAAGAGAATGATCTCTCTTACAACACACACGTAGTCAAGCTCACTTCACTTCACTTCACTTATCAGTACCACACATAGCCCAAATACCACATTCATCGTGAGACAATGGTACCTTTTTTAAAACAGTTGCTAAGCAAATCTCTTCGGTTTGACAAAATTTTCCGAGTTCACATATACATATGTATAGGGAGTGTATTTTTAAAAACCAAACACAGTTACTATGACCATTCATCCATACTGAGAAACAGGCATGGCCAAAAGTCTGTCAACCAATGTACTCCTTCGTACACGCATCCCGAGCATATTCCTAGGAGCCTGAAAACATTCAGGAAACAATAAAACTAACATTCTTTATACTTAATGCTCTACCTTTCATACCTAAAGTACTACCGGAGTGGCCAATCAAACAACAGTTGACTAAAAAAAAAAAGTTTAATCTTTTTCCACGTTTACACCAAAGACATTAACAACATAACCAACAACAACTCCCTTCCTCTTTCTCCCGGGCCACTGTACACACACACACACACTCAGTCAGTCAAATAATCCACACCTTGGCAACAGAAAGCGCGCACAGAAGCAGTGACAGAAAATTGATTACTTAATAAATTTATTCTTTTAAAAAATTATGCCGGCACCCTGCACAAAAGTAACAATGGCCGAGATCCTAGACAGGGGGTGGGGGAAAGGAAAAGGGACGCGACGACTACCAGAATCCTGTGGACTTTCCTCCTGGGGGATTCGACACCTTGGTTCCAGGCCTCTTGGTCTTGTGTTCATCAAACTGAGCACCTGTGGAGAACAAAGGACCAAGAAAGATAGAAATTAAGTACTATATTTCCTTTTGGACGATATTTTTATCTAATTAGTACGTCCTGTTTCACACAACGTTTCGATCAAATTAGTATGTCTTGTTTTTAATATTTGTATCAAATTAGTGTGTCTTGTTTTGAATGATATTTTGATCTAATTAGCCCATCTTTTTTTCCCTTGACATTTTGATCAAATAACTGCGTCTTGTTCTGAATTATACTTCAACGTAAGTAGCATAATTTTGTTTTGAATGATATTTTGATTAACTAGTCTTGATTTAAAAAAATGATATTTCACTGTTCACTTAGATTAACAAGTCATATTTTGAATCATACTTCAAAGCAGCATAATTTGTTTTCAATGATAATTTGATCAACTAGTCTTATTTTTAATGATACTTCACTTAGATTAGCAAGCCGCGTTTCTAATTGAAATTTCCATCAAATTTGCTCATCTTAATTAAGCCAATATTTCCTTCTTCTAACTCAACAAACGGAGAAACAGAACCGGGAAAAGAGAGCCCCAGCAACTGACCACTGAGAGAGAAGGAGGAATCCTGCATGTTGCGGACCCCGCCGCGCGTAGGACGGTTGTGGAACTCAGCCGACTGTTCTGGGAAGATGGGGTTATCTGGTCGCCTGCTGGCCATGGCAGCCGCATCCTCCGCTTTGATCTCCACTACGGGGCCGGTGTACGGGTCGCGCTCGATCCTCTGGGGCTGAGACGCCTGGAGCGGGGAAAATAAAATAATAATGAGAAGAAGAAAAAGCTATAATAATGAGAAGAAGCAGAAGAAGAAG